TCGCCATCCAGCATCCCTGGTTCCGTCGCTCCTTCTGGCCATCCCTCTTTCCCAGCCGGATCTTTGAGCAGCACTTTGGGGACCCCATCTCTGAGGCCGAAATGATTCCCTCACTGTACTACCCACGACCTTCCTTTTTCCGCTGGCCAAGCTGGGTGGACAGCAGCCTTTCTGAGGTGAGCTAAACATTTTGTGAAAGTTTCGCAGTCAGTTTTCAGTGACGTTTGGGAACGTTGTGGTTAATTAAGTTTGTAACCTTAGCATTATTGTAGTTCCGTGTCTAATTTGTTAACGCACTATCAAAAACTAAACTGGGTGATCAGAACCTTGAAGCAAAGTGGAGGGGTCTCATATTAACCTACAGGGTTTTAATTAGTGATAACGGCTGTACAGTTAATACATAATGGATGTTTAAAGTCATTTTAATATGTTAACAGTTTAGTACACATTAATAATTGACCTTAGTCAACCAATACAGAAATATTTGACCTTAGTTGACCAATCAAAATCAAGTATTTCAAAGAGCCATGTAATAATGAAAATTATTTATGGATTATTTTTATTGTGCTATTTTAAGTTTTACATTTAACATGAAGTTATTCTCTGTGTTCATGCCTGTTTTATACAGACAAAGATAGCGTTATTAAGAGATAACTATAGCTGTTTTTTGTTTTTTTCAATAACAGCTGTGCTAGTGTCGGCTGTTTTCTAAACTATGATCCCAATGGATAAATATTTTGAGCATTTATTCCATGACGATAGCTTTGATTGATTTCTGCCTAGCAGTGTATCTTTAAAAAGCCACAGTGAAGCATAGCTCTTCTGTTTTGATGGAAACAAAACAAAACAAAACAAAAACAAAACAAAACAAAACAAAAACAAAAACAAAAACAAAACAAAATTAATTTAATTATTTATATGGTTGAATTTCACAAAAACTTTTAAGAAATGTTCGGGTCATATTTCACTATAAAAATCAAAAGAGAAATAAATATTTTTGTATAAAGAAAGTGAATGAATAGCTGTTTTTTGTTTTTTTCAATAACAGCTGTGCTAGTGTCGGCTGTTTTCTAAACTATGATCCCAATGGATAAATATTTTGAGCATTTATTCCATGACGATAGCTTTGATTGATTTCTGCCTAGCAGTGTATCTTTAAAAAGCCACGGTGAAGCATAGCTCTTCTGTTTTGATGGAAACAAAACAAAACAAAAACAAAAACAAAACAAAACAAAAAACAAAACAAACAAAACAAAACAAAATTAATTAAATTATTTATATGGTTGAATTTCACAAAAACTTTTAAGAAATGTTCGGGTCATATTTCACTATAAAAATCAAAAGAGAAATAAATATTTTTGTATAAAGAAAGTGAAGCATATTTGAAGAGTTCAGATGCAAAAGCCTCTAAATGCCATCTGAAATTTCCTTCTAAAATTAATATTTTTATTAGGCTCATTTATTTAGGTAAAGTAATTTTACTTTAATGGCAATGTATAGGTCCTTTTTCTATGCCATTATAGTGAAATACCTGAATATAAATATAGGAGCCTGATAAAAATGCTCATTTTAGATGAAAATTTCAGACGGCACTTAGAGGCTTTTGCATCTGAAGTCTTGTAGAACTATTATGATTTTTGCATTGTGACAACATGATATTGTAATGTGAAAAAAAATGTAAATGTAATTCTAATGTACATTATTATTACTTTATAGTTAATAATTATAATTATTAGTATAATTATAACTATATAATATGGTAATGAAATTCTGTATATAGGTTAATACTATCACAGCAGATTATTATGTCATAGTAGAAAAAAAAAATCGAATTTGAATTTGAAGTGCTTTTCCTAATTGTTAGCATTAGGATAGACCAAACAAATTATTATTATTAATAATTTATGTCATTAATTGTGTTTTCTTAGATGAAAATGGAAAAGGACCATTTCTCCCTAAATCTGGATGTCAAACAATTTAAACCAGAGGAGCTGTCAGTGAAAATCAATGGAGATTTCATTGAAATTCACGCTAAACACGAGGATCGACAGGTAGAAACTCACAGTACATAAACACTGAACACTGCAACCTAATACCTACCCAAACCTTTGCGTGTGACTGGCTTTATTGTTTCAAATCCTCATGTCATCACCAAGATCGCTGGCCTTGAGCCACAAATAAACACTGCGCTATAAGCAGAGTGAAAGATGGACCATTCGTTATGCTCATAACGACGTTGTGCTTTCCTTGCAGGACGATCACGGTTTTATCTCACGGGAGTTTCTAAGAAAATACCGTGTCCCTGCTGGTATGGATCCAGCCTCTGTCACTTCCTCCCTGTCTTCTGATGGCGTTCTGACCGTGACAGCCCCTCGCAAGCACACAGAGGGCCCGGAGCGCACCATTCCCATCAGAAAAAATCAATCGACCAGATGAATTGAGGTGAATTATCAATGCAGTAAAGTACAATATAATTGAGAAGTCAAATATTATAACCTTATTATGTATGGAAAATCAATCATCATCGGTACATTTTCTTTGTGTGTGGAGGGTCCCGTTCTGGTTGGTGGCCAGGGAAACTTCTTGACTCCCTCTTTGGGGCTGATAAAGTGGAAATATCAAATTCTTTACATAAGCATGATTATTTTGTTGAATTCAAAACAATAGAATTAACTAATTAATCAATTAAAAGAAATAAAAGTTAAAACAAAGTTTTTAATAAAATTATTTAAAGAAAAATATACTTGTGTAAATTGGCCGAACGTCATCCTTCTTATAGCTGGAATAATATGTGGTTTCAAAGTAGTGAGAGAACTGAGGAGTACAATTCAAAATTGTTTGGCTGTTGAGCACAAAACTGGTATTTGGACATTTAAGTGACACTTAAAATGCATGAATGTCACTGCATTAGATAACTAAATATAAAACCAAATCAAATGCATTTTAAAGAAAGGTTGCACTAGCACACTTTTAAAGCAAAACATTCACAAAATAAGTTTGAAAACAAAAAAAAATGATATGAGGATTTTTGTGATTAACAAATGTTAGTGGAACGTGTTCATAGTTGGTGTTATGAACTACACCTGTGGTCACTGCCACACTAATTGATTAAAATCATTGCACTGCTCAAAAAAGTGAAGCTGTGAAAGGATTGCAGATGCCAATCTATCTTATCTAATGCAATGAAATTCAAGCATTTTAAATGTGACTTACAGTAGGTGGCTCTGATGGTCTCAGAGCAACATTTTACTGAACAATACCAACCTGATGCGCAAGGGGGCGTCGTAACGCCACAGTACGGCGAGTGTCTAACCTCTCTTCCGACCAGTTAGTTACCAGTGAGGGTGGCATTCATTCAGTGTCTTCATTCCTTGAACATCGCCAACCATGCTGACGAAATTTCTCCTCGCCGGTGAAATCATACCAGACCCATAGACTGTATAAAAACAGACCAGACGTCAGCTTGCCCAGACGCCCGAAGCATGTGATGAAAAGGAGGGCCGTTTCTCACCCAAGAAAACTCCTTGCTTTTATTGGACATCGTGTCACTACATTTTATGTCATAAAAGAATATACTTTTTTTTTTTTTAACAAACTGCAACCACAACAATATAGTTCAATATTGTGTTAAAATTAACCAAAACTATTTTTTCCCCCCCAAAATTCATTACCTGTCCATATGCTATGTGCGGTCGCATGTGTGTATTTTTCGCCATTTTACAACTGTTTGTATCATTTAAAATCTTATAATTTTTGTTATACTTCTTATAATAAATAATCATTTTCTAATATATGCTTTTAAAATAATTATACAACCAGTCTCAAAAGTAACTTCACCCTAGACCACACAAGTTTAAATATGTGTGATAGTCGACCATAAACTTATCAGAAAAGCGCTTTACATTTTATTTACCTAGTTTGATGTCAAATCGCTTTAATTATTTGTGAACACACTCACCTTTACGGTGGCCGTGAAGTGCAAAACAAATCACAATTCTGAAAACAAAATAACAAATTACAAACGCAAATGCAAGTCTAAAAAACTAAATAACAATTCAGAAAGCACAACAATTCAGAAAACATTATAACAAGTCAGAAAACACAATGACAAATCAGACAAACCGGAAAAGGTAGGTATAGTTTGAGACAGCGCCATTGGTTTGGGATTACTCACCGCTGACTGGACGAGACATCTGTCAATCAACGTATACAGGGAAGAACCAGCCGAAGAACAGCAGAGTCGTGGTAGAAAGTTCGGAGATGGTATTAAAGTAGCTCAGTTTAAATGTATTGTATGAATTGGCCTTACTCTGGAATAAAAAATACGGGGTGTCTATTTACATTTAGTTAAAAGTGGCTGTAAGTCATCAGCTCCAGTGGTGCAGATGGAAGTGCGCGTGTCGTTGGCTTTTTGACGTGATTGGCCCGGGTTTGATCCCGCCTTTTGCCGAACTTTTTTCCCCTCCCTTTTCAAATCTCGTATCACATGGTAAAGGCATTTATTTTCAATAAAAATTAAGGAAATAATCAAAAAGTTGAAAATAAAGTATCGGGTAGGGTTAGGGTAGGTGTAGGGATGGCTTTATTGTACCAATATTGCACTTCTCGGCCACCGTACACCTTGCTACAGGAACGCCAAGTAATACGCGATCCTCGAGCTGCCATTGGTCTCCATGGAAATTCGCATGACGCAACTCTGTTAGAAACCGAATATCTACTACTAAAGTCGTATGAAGATGATAATAAAGGCAGATGCAATCATTTCTCGCTTGAGTAGGCCTAGTAATTGATTTTCTCAACTTTTCACAACTTTTCTTACCAAAACATCACGTGATACGAAGGATCACATGCAAGAGATGCAGCCAAATAGCAGCAGCTCAGTTTTATTCAGACTATTGCATCAACAAGCATTTACAGTCTACAGTCAGGTTCTAGGCTATATGTTCTCCTCTTCTGAATAGCAAATAATCTTTGCTTACTAGAAATAATAAATGTAGAGACACACTAAAGTGCAGAGTGGAATCAAGAATCACGTTTATGTTCCAGCCAAGACAGCACACAATCCTAATAGCAGTAAAAGTCCCATCTCTGAAAAGATAAAAGAATATAATTAATCCTAAACGCCCACTTTTTATTGTATGTATTTGTCCATGCATCAATTTCTTTTTGTTTATCATAGACAAAAAATTCAGATACGCACATCGGTCTTAACCTCAACCTCAGCAGGCATTAACGCATGTGTCTCTTCAACAACACTGCTGGGGAAATATCCCAGACGAGCTTCCTGGTCTCCATAATATGACCCTTGAATCTTCACAAACAGTTATCTTCAGTTATACTGTGTGACTTCATTTTCAGAGGGGAAAGCATTTGTTTTTGCACACTTTGACAATACAAGAAAACCATGGAAGTTGGTTTTATGCACTATTATGCATGCAGTTTCTTGGACCTCATATTAACAGATATTAGTTACATTTATATTTGTTAAATTTTCAGAACTATAAATGAAAAGGATATACTGTATATATATATATATATATTCACACATGGTGGTGATCAACTACAGCATCTTAAAATTTACACTTTCCCTTAAAACGACATAAAACTTAAAAAAAATCATGTCCATGTAGTTTGTTAACTACTAAGGCAAGTTGTTTGCTTATTCTTATTCTTGTTTTGTTTTTTTTACCAAACTGTTCTATAATATAAAAATAGACAATTCAACAAATTCATATTATTATTTTTAAACAGTATTTATTAATCTAACTGTTCAAATTTTGATTTTGACAATGTATCATTAAATGTTGAAATTAACATCTAATAAAGTTTTTTCATTGTTAAATTCAGGTTAACTAATATTCTGTAGTTAAATTTAATTATGTTAACAAACGGAACCTTACTGTAAAATGTTAACAAAGTTATGTAAGCTGAAATGCAACATTTAAAAGAAAGCACTAAAAGAAAAAAAAAAACTATCCTAAAATTTCCCCACAATAAATATATGAAAGTTAAAAATGCTGGTTGCATTACTCACGGCTGCACTCTAAATCGGCGCATAGCTTCTTGTCTGAGAGATTTGACATCTGCCTGCCAGCCTCAGAGTAGTCAGTGGCAGGAGGCCACACAGCACCAGGAGGTTCTATAATATAAAAATAGACTGTAACAACTTCAACAAATTCATATTATTATTTTTAAACAGTATTTATTAATCTAACTGTTCAATTTTTGATTTTAACAATGTATCATTAAATGTTGAAATTATCATCTAATAAAGTTTTTTCATTGTTAAATTCAGGTTAACTAATATTCTGTAGTTAAATTATGTTAACAAACGGAACCTAACTGTAAAATGTTAACAAAGTTATGTAAGCTCAAATGCAACATTTAAAAGAAAGCACTAAAAGAAAAAAGAAAAACTCTCCTGAAATTTCCCCACAATAAATATATGAAAGTTAAAAATGCTGGATGCATTACTCACGGCTGCACTCTGAATCGGCGCATAGCTTCTTGTCCGAGAGTTTTGGCATCTGCCTGCCAGCCTGAGTAGTCAGTGGCAGGAGGCCACACAGCACCAGGAGAAGGGTCCAGTTAGCACAGTGTTTCTCCATCTCTGTGTATCTGATTCTTAGTTTGTTTGAACAGGACTAAAGCTCAAGTGGCAGGGGCCAGTTGAGGCCAAGCTCCTCCCATTTTCAGAAAGTACACATATAATCCATATAATAACAGACAAAATTGCACTAACACTCGAATTAAGTGTATTTACTTATATAGAACACAAGTGATTTGACTTATTTTTCTCTTTACCATTTAAGGACAAAATCTGACATTCATTGCAAGCATAACTATCTAGTATTTGATTTGTCTTTTTGTATGTCATTCAAAATTCCTTTTTATTGATGCAGGGTCTTCTTGTGTTACAGCCATAAGTCAAGATTCGGAGCAGGGCCCATATCTGTAACTAGCTTCATTTAGGGTCTGTAAGAGAAAAATAGTCAAGTGTTGCTGCAAGTTTCACAGGCTCTCGTTTGTGTGGATATTACTAATCCTATCTGAATCCACACTCAGTTCATTATTACCATAGTGAGGGACACAGACAGGCCACAGGCCCCATAACACCTAGTTACAGAGACTGAGGCCTTTGCCGGGGGCCGAACAACCCGTATTTTCACAGTAGCAAAAATCAACACTCACTTTGGTTCAGAGGATTCCTTATGGTCTCTCTGAGCCATTTCCATATTTGGAACACCTTGGAATATAACAAACAGTCCAACAAAGCTAATTGAAAATCCAGTACCTTACTAAGTGAAATCATGATCTCCAGTTATCTATCTGGAAGCTTGTTGCCTGCGGTTGCCTGCAACTAGAAGCTGCTCCCTCCACAGTGATGTAAAGTGGGTTACTTTATCCACAAAGTGGCAGCACCGAGCAGGTTACCTAACAGCCCCTGAATGCGTTCTTTTATGGTGAGAATGTTATGCTAGTCAGTATAACATCTGACACTGTGGAATTAAGAATACTTAACTTGCCTATAGAACGTTTTAGATAGAAGAGGGTTTCGTGACATTATTATAAAATTATCTTTGAACACTCTGAAGCATGTTGCAGTTCTAAAAATGTTTAGTTTAGAGATTATTTGAAAGTTATGAAAGTTTTATTACAGAATTCTAAGCACAATCCTTTGTCTTGTTAATTCTTTAATATGTGGGAAGAATTTGTTAATTACATTTTTAATGCTTTCTATAAAGAAATAGGATAGAGTGATGGTATAAAAGAAAATAGCGAGAGAGGCAAAATTATAAAACTTTTAAAAATGTGTTTATTTTTTATTTATTAAGATTGAAAACTAAAATAAGACCATAAAGTTCACAGAAAAGTCTCTCATGAAACTGAATAGAGATTCAAGGCTGTACTGCAGTCCAGAGTTGTCTCTTTTAGCTAGTATTTCTTTTTGTGTAATTCATTGTTTAAAATTCAGAATTGCACATAGTGTGTGCCATTGAGACTGTTTTTAGGAGGGGGTGATCCTTTTTTCAACTCAGTAATTCTGTTTTTTTTTTACATGTTGGTGTTATATCTTTCACTTGGATGTTATAAGTTGCACTGAGTAAATGCAGCTGGATAAAACAAAAACTGTGTCCGTCTTCATTTCAGGCTGCAAAGCAACAAAATGTGATTAAAGGGGGGTGATTCTTTTCTATACCCACTGTATTTTAAAGGTGATTTTTCTACATCTAAATGTATGTATTTTAATATCCACAAAATCATTTGTGACAAATTTTCTATTGAAAGTAAACGTCATAAAAGAATATGATAATTTATATTCCAAAGTTGGGAAATTTGCTTGTTTCTTCATTTTATAAAAAAGTACAAACCAGAATCAGAAATAAAATATCTTTCTGTTTACAGAAATTGAACAGATATGAATAATCAACTTATTGATTTCAGAAATAAAAAGTAAATGGGGAAAACTAAAAGACAGAAGTAAAAACGTGTGAACCAAATAAGGCATACAAACATAAATGAACAAATTAATAAATCATAGTGTTTTTTAAAATATTAAAAACAAACATAATGATGGCTAAATGAAATAAAAACAGTAAAATGTTTACAAAAATTAATTTTAAAGCTTTCTTATTTTTCGAAGTTAATATTGTTTTCTGATATTGTTGAACTGCTGCCTTCAAAATTCGAAACAATGGTTTAATTCCCCCATGTTTACATTTATGAATAAATAGTGGTATTTTTTTCGTTTTTTTTTTAAAAATCGAAGTTTCACACTGTATCAGTCATTATATCTCACCTGTATCTACCCTGTTTGTGTGTGCCCGCCTCCTCCCATTGAACTGATGACGCCATGAGAAGGTGTGGCCTAATTAGCTTTACAGCAGCGCTTCCAAGGCGATCATCAGAAGTACCTCCCTGTCACCTTTCATGCTAAGTTTGGAGCAGGAACTTCCCAGGTAGGAAAAACAAAGCGTTTCTTGTTCTAAACAGTCAATAGGGACATTTTGACTACTAACAGACGCTTTCTTACCGACTTAACAAGAAAATTATTTTGAATATAAAACACCCATTCAAGTTCTTAAGTCTTTTAATTAAGCCTTTATTTGCTGTGAAGTTGATACGAACAGCTTGGGCTGTTTTATTTACACTGCATTAGACTAATGTTGTTGATTCAACAGTTTCAATTCCATAAGATACCACATCATGTTAATAATAAACGCTTTATCCAGAGGTTCTGGTTTACCTCCATTTATGTCATCCTAAGACTGTTTCCTCCATTATGATCCACAGACCGGGAAGCAGCCTGTTTTATTACAAGAAAACACTTTTCAGCAACATTAAACATAATGGTGGGGAAATATCGGCATTAAGAAGGTCAGAGCCACCTATGTCTTAGTTACCAGAGCTCTTTAAAACCTGTTTAGCCAATTGTAAGGGGTGTAGTCACTGGGCCACTGAGGAGTCTTGAATGACTACTGGAATGTGGGAGAAACACTGAAACTTTGTTATGTTGGTCGTTTCCACAAAAGAAGCTCCTAGACAACAATAGAAATGCCCCAAGGAAGAAATGAATAATGTGTTGTTCGGATACACATAGAGTACAGGGAAGAAACCCAAGCTCTTTACAGTCCAGGAGGATTAGATGTTGTGAATGAATACACCTGCCAGCTTTGTGTCATAAATTTCAGGGTGAGTTCACCTGTTCCAACATGTTTTTGTCCATAGGAAGATTTATAAGGAAGAACAATAAATCAACTGATGATTCCACCCTCGAAGGAAGCTTCAGCCTCCGTACACCCTACATGTGACACACACAAGTGTTGATCATCTTTTGAAGGATATACAAAACCAAGAGGTGTCAGGTTCTGTGTTTTCTTGTTAACTCTGAAGAAAATCCAGGCTAGACTAGAGCATTGGACATTTCGACTGGGAAGGATGCAGATGAACAACTTTTGACTATCAGGACGGTTACTTGGAGTCCTGCTCAGCCGTGAACGTTAGGGACGGACCAATGTTTCCATCCAAGAAGGAGAACCTACCCTCTCCCATCCTGGAGGATTCTTTCTTCCCCTTTTCTTCATCACACTCTTCCTCCGGTCACCGGATCATGGCTCCTACAATGGGAGTAGATGATCTTCTCGCCTCACCTCAGGATGACAGCAGTCCTACACTGCTGGAAAAGGACCTGATCTTGGCTGCTGAGGTGGGCCAAGCTTTGCTGGAGAAAAACGAGGAGCTGGCAGCTCAGATAGAGCAGATGGAAAGGGAGATGGAGGTATGAATGAGAATGAGTGGTCAGAAGTGATGGAGTCTCTATAAAGGCCTGTTCACACGATAACTATAAAGTTTTACTAATCATTCAAATTCTATGAGAATAGCGATAGACCACACCACAACTATAACAACACAGAGGAACGATATCATTAGAATTACTTTCAGAACAATATTTTTCAGCTGATAACAAAAAAATGAACAGCCAGTCGGAATCCACCTGACTTTAACAAGCTCAAACATTTAAAACGGCAGACAAATTGCTGCACATGCTTATAATAAATAGAACATTATCATCTGCTGGTGTGTAAGCTAGTTATCTGTTTTAGTTATCTTTATCGTTCTTGGTGTGAACGGACCTTAACTCAGTATAGTAACATGTTTATGTTTACAAACAATCTAAACTCTTTTGTTTAGCTACATTTTTCAAATTTATTTAAAATATTCTTTATTGTCCAGCGGAGAAATTTGCGTCTATGGTGCTGTACACATACACAATACGTTGTTAATTCTTTAAATCATTATAATAAGAATAAGAAGAGTAAATAATAACGGCATATAAAACATCTATCACAATAAAAATAAAAAACCCAATAAAATGCACGCAGAATGCTAATGTCTAAAATTAACACCATGTAGCAAATGGCTGTATCCCCCAAAAATGTGTCAATTTTATTTTAATACCTTGTTATTTACTATTGTAATGGAAGAAAGATTTAAAAGGTTTTTATAGATTAGATTTACACCACCATTCATTTATTTAATACTTAGTTAAGATATTCAGTAAGGACACATTAAATTGATCGAAAATTACAGTAAAGACTTCTTATAAAATGTTTTTATTTCAAAGAAATGCTGTTCTTTTGAACTTCCTATTCATCAAATAATCCTGAAAAATATATCATGATTTGCACAGAAATATTTAGCAGTACTGATCAGCAGCAACACTGATAATAAGTAAGCACCAAATCAGCATATTAGAATGATTTCTAAAGGATCATGTGACACTGAAGACTGGAGTAATGGCTGCTGAAAATTCAGCTTTGCTCACACTGGAATAAATTACATTTAAAATATATCAAAATGAAAAACCGTTATTGTAAATTGTAATTATATTTCACAATATTTCTGTTTTTATTGTATTTAGATAAAATGTATTCAGCCTTGGTGAGCATAAGAGACTTCTTTAAAGGGGTCATATGATGCTTTTTTAAAGATCATTATTTGATGTATTTGGTGTAACAGAATATGTTGACATGCTTTAATGTTCAAAAAGCACATTATTTTTCAAATACTGTACATTATTGTAGGTCAAACAAACAAAAAAACGGTACGTTTCTTAACAAAATTCTTAAGCTTAAAACTAAAGTATTAAAACTATAAACCATCTACTAGAGGACTTGCCAAGAAGTACAAGAAATAAAGATAAAAAGGAAAATGCTCAAACATGATTGATTTTGAGTGTTTATATCTCCTGCATAGTGAAATGATGTTGCATATGATGCAGCAACAGTGATATTTTATGGTGGCTCTTCATTTAGAGAGGGTTGTATCAATGGTCTCAAAATAGTGCTAAAAACTTGAATGATAGAACCTGTAATAAATGTTACTTTATACCCATTACACCACCTTCAAAAACAGCTTCTAGAATCTCAAAATAAACATTTCACCATAAAAGACCCATTTAGGCAGATATCATTCTAAATCAAGCCTGTTAACAGCATTAGAACTCTTTTGTGTGTGTGTGAATTACAGACAAAGTTTGTTCTGTACAACAGGCCATGCAGCAGGAGAAACACGTGCTGCAGCGACGTCTGGAGGTGCGGGACCTCGAGGCAAGTCAGCGGGAAGCAGAACTGCAGGCTGACATCACAGCGTTGCGTGCGCAGTTGGAACAAAAACACTTTCAGAGTCGTGACCGGCGTCGTGAAGAAAGTGAGCAGCTGACTCAGCTATCCAACCACAACCAAAAACTTGTGGAACAGCTGGCAGAGGTGACCAGACAATCAGAAGATTTAAGTCCCCAGTTTCCTATTTTTAACAACTTCTTGCAAATCTTGTCAGAGGCATCCAGGTTTATGTGGGTAAACATGTCTAGTGACGTAGTAACACGGATACAGTTAGATACAGGGCTGCAATGAAGATCAGCAGGTTTAGGTATCTGTCTGATGTCAGAAGCAGTCCTAGAAATAATGTTTGGCTACATCTAAACCGTTTTCTCTCCTTTTTTTCTTCCAGGCAGTGGCTTTAGAGCATACTTTGCGTACTGAGCTTCGTTCTTTGAGAGAAGAAATGGAGGATACAAGTTTTAGAAAATCCATAAGCTCTGCTAGACTGGACAGTCTGCAATCAGAGGTATAGACACAAAATTAGTGATCAAAGTAGAATTAGACCAATATATCGGCCAGGCCAATTAATTTTGACATGATCAACTTTGATTTATAGCAAAATAATCAAAGAAAGTATGTTGATTCAATGTTTTTGTGTTATTTTTCACTACTGATCATATATCATAGAACAGTGTTTTGAAAGAGCGCTGTACTCATATGGATGAACGACTGAAGTCAACTCAAGAAGACAACCACCGGCTGAGATCTGAGAGGGATGGATTGAGAGAGAGGGTGATTGAGCTACAGACCAGTCTGAAAGATAAAGAAACGGAGGTGAGGAATATGTGCCAGATGATAGAATTTGGGAAAGAAAGTTTATAGAAGATGGGGAGCAAGTGTGAATCTCTATATAGGATAGATGTCTCATATAAATACTGCATACAATTAGAATTTACACCCTACATTTAACATAAGAATTGATTTGTAGCATTTAGTAATGTGAAGCAGCACCAAGGCTCGTCCTAATCTACAAACTCCCATTACCAGTATTGCTGGGAAGACCATTTCACACAAGAGTCCACCACAAAGAATGAAGCACTAGTAAAATGTCTAATTTAATATTATGAGCTTGAAAAGAGTCCGCACATTCAAACATTGAAGCATCACAAGCGAGATGAGAACAATGTATGCAATTTACTGAATAAAATAAGGCAAACGCTAATTTAATTTGAAAAGAGTCCGCACATTCAAACATTGAAGCATCACAAGCGAGATGAGAACAATGTATACAATGTATGCAGTAAAATAAGGCAAACGTTTCGGTCACATGTTGACCATTTTCAATGCCAAGCTAACAGTGTTAGAACTAGAAGCCAAACAGTCAATAGCAAATACTTAAACTAATAGCAAAACAGTAGCTGATTCAGAAGCGCCAGATTGTCATAGTAAAGTCAGAATTACCTCCTCTCCTAGGTTCACGAAACGGTTGTCCATAAAATGCATTGCTGTTCTGTTGTAAGTAATCTTAAAGATTCCTAAATGCATCTGCTTTCGGAAGGCCAAATAAAGTGCTTTTGCTTTCGCCTAGAAACACACAGCGTCTCTCTGACATGCTGCTTCAACACTAACTGCGGTTACTGAAACCATGCCTTCTTTCTTTGCGTGCACATTTGAGCGGCATTACGCAGATATTTTCACATAGTGAGGTAGATATGTGGGGGCGTGTTAGAACGAGCCGTTTTAGGGGGGCGTGGCAGAGTCTTAACTTTGATAAAGAATATCTCTTTGGTTTTGAGACTTTAGTCTTTGCAACTTCAGGGATCTTATCTATGCACAATCAGCTTGTAACACTCCAAAGAGAAAGGAAAACTTGAAATCGCATCATATGACCCCTTTAAAAAACCAAACAAACAAAAAAACGGTACGTTTCTTAACAAAATTCTTAAGCTTAAAACTAAAGTATTAAAACTATAAACCATCTACTAGAGGACTTGCCAAGAAGTACAAGAAATAAAGATAAAAAGGAAAATGCTCAAACATGATTGATTTTGAGTGTTTATATCTCCTGCATAGTGAAATGATGTTGCATATGATGCAGCAACAGTGATATTTTATGGTGGCTCTTCATTTAGAGAGGGTTGTATCAATGGTCTCAAAATAGTGCTAAAAACTTGAATGATAGAACCTGTAATAAATGTTACTTTATACCCATTACACCACCTTCAAAAACAGCTTCTAGAATCTCAAAATAAACATTTCACCATAAAAGACCCATTTAGGCAGATATCATTCTAAATCAAGCCTGTTAACAGCATTAGAACTCTTTTGTGTGTGTGTGAATTACAGACAAAGTTTGTTCTGTACAACAGGCCATGCAGCAGGAGAAACACGTGCTGCAGCGACGTCTGGAGGTGCGGGACCTCGAGGCAAGTCAGCGGGAAGCAGAACTGCAGGCTGACATCACAGCGTTGCGTGCGCAGTTGGAACAAAAACACTTTCAGAGTCGTGACCGGCGTCGTGAAGAAAGTGAGCAGCTGACTCAGCTATCCAACCACAACCAAAAACTTGTGGAACAGCTGGCAGAGGTGACCAGACAATCAGAAGATTTAAGTCCCCAGTTTCCTATTTTTAACAACTTCTTGCAAATCTTGTCAGAGGCATCCAGGTTTATGTGGGTAAACATGTCTAGTGACGTAGTAACACGGATACAGTTAGATACAGGGCTGCAATGAAGATCAGCAGGTTTAGGTATCTGTCTGATGTCAGAAGCAGTCCTAGAAATAATGTTTGGCTACATCTAAACCGTTTTCTCTCCTTTTTTTCTTCCAGGCAGTGGCTTTAGAGCATACTTTGCGTACTGAGCTTCGTTCTTTGAGAGAAGAAATGGAGGATACAAGTTTTAGAAAATCCATAAGCTCTGCTAGACTGGACAGTCTGCAATCAGAGGTATAGACACAAAATTAGTGATCAAAGTAGAATTAGACCAATATATCGGCCAGGCCAATTAATTTTGACATGATCAACTTTGATTTATAGCAAAATAATCAAAGAAAGTATGTTGATTCAATGTTTTTGTGTTATTTTTCACTACTGATCATATATCATAGAACAGTGTTTTGAAAGAGCGCTGTACTCATATGGATGAACGACTGAAGTCAACTCAAGAAGACAACCACCGGCTGAGATCTGAGAGGGATGGATTGAGAGAGAGGGTGATTGAGCTACAGACCAGTCTGAAAGATAAAGAAACGGAGGTGAGGAATATGTGCCAGATGATAGAATTTGGGAAAGAAAGTTTATAGAAGATGGGGAGCAAGTGTGAATCTCTATATAGGATAGATGTCTCATATAAATACTGCATACAATTAGAATTTACACCCTACATTTAACATAAGAATTGATTTGTAGCATTTAGTAATGTGAAGCAGCACCAAGGCTCGTCCTAATCTACAAACTCCCATTACCAGTATTGCTGGGAAGACCATTTCACACAAGAGTCCACCACAAAGAATGAAGCACTAGTAAAATGTCTAATTTAATATTATGAGCTTGAAAAGAGTCCGCACATTCAAACATTGAAGCATCACAAGCGAGATGAGAACAATGTATGCAGTTTACTGAATAAAATAAATAAGGCATTTCGGTCACATGTTGACCATTTTCAATGCCAAGCTAACAGTGTTAGAACTAGAAGCCACTGTTAACAAAAAATTCTATTTCAAATAAATGCTTTTGAATTTTCTATTCATCAAAAAAACCTGATAAATATATAACAATTCAAAATATTAAGCAGCACAACTGTTTTTTCACAATGATAATAATAAGAAATGTTTCTTTAGCACCAAATCAGTCTAGTTTTGATCAAATACATGCAGCCTTTCTGAGCATAAGCCTCTTTCAAAAACATTAAAAAAATCTTACCAACCCCAAACCTTTGAACTGTACTGTATGTTGCTTGAAAAACTTTAGTCAGAATACATGGATATTTTAAAATGGCTGTCAATGGAAAAAGATGGTATGGTAATGACATTTACCAGCTGGGGCTAACTTGACTATGCTAACCCACTAAACTTTGACCCTTTGACCTTAACAGTAGATCAGTGGCTTCTAGCAACTTCATCCTTTGCTGTTTGATGCATGCACAAATAAAATGGCTTAATTAAAAAATATATATAAAATTAAAAATGTTTTATTTTTTATCATTTAATTGTATTTTAAAGCAAAATGGACAATTCTGTTCTGGGAGGCATTGTGGGCAGAGATGCACACTTTGAAAATCTACTGAATAAAGTGTACCATATGGCCACCATGACATACGATTTTCAACATACTGTGATTTGAGGCAAACTAAGTCTAATCCTGCATACCACTGGTCCTAAATTGTATGAGAATTGGGATTGGGGCAGCCTAAGTTTCAGGTTCAGATTTCGCTGGTCAGAGTCCACCCACCCCTAGAGAGTTTCAGTCTGGCTGTCTCTGGCTCTTTCACAGCTGGAACAGGAGCACAGCACAGTGTTTCAGCTGCGCACAGTCAACCGTACCCTACAGCAAAGGGTTGAAGCCTTGGGAGAAGAGGCCAATCTGGGGGAGACTACCTGTTTCCCTTTGTCACTTCAGAGTGAGATCCAACAGTCCCAGGTAGCGCTCAACCCCTGTTTAGTAAAAAGATAGGTGTGCATGCTTCAACTTGGCTTGTAGCAAATGTTTACAGCACTGCAAGCAATGTACACTCACTGGCCACTTTATTAGGTACACCTTGCTAGTAC